CAGTAGCAGCGAATGAGGTACAGCCTGCACACCCGGCACTGGCTACGTGTGAAACAAGCCCTGCAGCTCACACCTCTCCTCTTCGGTTTAGAGTTTAGGGTTTAGGGTTTACGGCTTAGGGTTGAGGGTTTAGGGTTTAGGGTTTAAGGTACCCCAGCAGACCATGCATGGAACATCCTCAAACTCACCCTCCCCAAAAAAAGGCTTTGAGCCTGCAGCAGCTGCAGCGCCTGAGCCCGAGCCCCGAAGGGGGGCTTCGTTGGCATGAAAAGCCTCGGAGGCGTGGAGCTTGAGGGTTTTTAGGGTTTCAGGTTTAGGGTCTAGGGTTTTCGGGTATAGGATCTGGATTTGGATTTGGGGCTCAGGAGACTTGTTTGGGCCCTCTAATCTCAAGACCCTCAGCCGGCATAGCGAAGCTTACTTACGTCTTACTTGTTATGTTTGTCTGCGTGCATTTGCTTTCCTGTACCTATGTCACATCATACATCCCCCGAAAACGAAACCCTAAACCCTAAACTCTAAACCCTAAACCCCAAAACCCCGAAACCCCTAAACCCCTAAACCCCAACAGGCCCTAAACCGAGCCAGCCGGTCAGGGTGCGTGGAGTGGTCCACCGAGTAAAGCCTCTGCTCCCCGCGGGGGCCCTTTCGCACGTCCCAGGTGAGCCTGGGTCGAGCAAGGGAGAAACAGGTCTCATGATGGTCTTTCGTGAAGAAGATCCCAAAAGCCCTACGGCCCAAACCACAAACCCACAACCCTCAACTTTAGCCCCAATTAGGGATTTTGGGGCCCCGAGCCCCGAAAAGCAGAGCCCAGAAGCTGCAGCCGCGGCATCTCCACGCGCTCCACCCGCAGGTGCTTCATCTCCCCGGCCTCTTCAGAAATGGAGTTACCCTAAACCCTAAACCCTTAACCCTTAAGCCTTAAACCCTCATTTAGGGCTAACAGGTTTTGGGTCGTTTGGGCGACACTGGGGTTCGGGATTTCGGGATTTGAGACGTGTCCGGGATGAAGTTTAAGGCTCAAGATACAGGCGTTTAGTAAACTTTGAGCCGTACAAGACCTTACCAAGCCCCTAAACACCCTCAGATCTTAAGTGACCCCAAAACCTAAACACCCTAAACCCTAAACCCTAAAGCCTAAAACAAAAAAACCTAAAGACACCCCCTTCAAATCGCTGCCTCCCAGGGGTTCAGGGACGTCCAGGCAAGGATGTAGGAGAGATTCTCGGCTCGGGCCAACGAGTCGGCCAGGTGGTGCAGCGGAGTGCCTCAAGGGCTTCGAGGGTTTAGGGTTTTGGGGGGCTTAGAGGGTTTAGGGTTTTGGGGAGGTTCAGAGGGTTTAGGGTTTAGGGTTTGAGGTTTAGGGCCTCAAGGGCTTCGAGGGTTTAGGGGTTCAGAGGGTTTAGGGTTTGAGGTTTGGGGCCTCAAGGGCTTAGATTGTTTAGGGTTTTGGGGGGTTCAGAGGGTTTACGGTTTAGGGTTTGAGGTTTAGGGCCTCAAGGGCTTAGAGGGCTTAGGGTTTTGGGGTGGTTCAGAGGGTTTAGGGTTTAGGGTCTGAGGTTTAGGGCCTCAAGGGCTTAGAGGGTTTAGGGTTTTGGGGGGTTTAGAGGGTTTAAGGTTTAGGGTGGTTTTTAGGGGCTTGTTGGTGGTTTAGGGCTTAGGGGGCTTCGAGGGTTTAGGGCTTGGGGGGACGGTTCAGGTATCGGGGGTTAGACATGGTTTAGGGGTTCGGGTTTCCGGAGCTTTGTCTTGGTCATTTTGGGGTTAAAGGGCCAGCATTTCGAACCTCGCCTGCATTGGTGTGGAGCAGGTCCAGGAGGTACAAGTCAGGACGCCCCATGCCGTCGCGGAAGCGTTTGATGACCACGGCCCCCCAACCGCGCATTCCGGTGCAGAGGATCTTTTTGATGCGAACAAGCTTGACGATGAGGATGTGGTCTACCTTCTTGTTACTGGAGTCCGACTCTAGGAGGTCCTCCTCCTCGTGGTCCGAGGGCCATCGGCCTTTAGCAGGATAGCCTCGGATGACGCGGTGCGGCGGGGCGTTCTCCTGGTAGAAGTTGTAGTCTTGTAGCAAAGCCTCTGGAAGCAAACCCCAAAGGACTCGGCCGGGCAGGTACTGTTCGCCCACCTCCATCATGCGCTCGAAGGGAGACTTCTCGGTGATCATGCGGTCGTGTAAGATCTCGACGTCTTTGATATTCCCGGCCCTGCAATCGAAGCCGATGTGGTCCACGATCTCTGCGGAGCGGTCGGGGAAGTCGAAATCCGTCAGACGTTCACCGTTAATGGAGATTTCGAAGCCTTGCAAAACTTAACGAACAGAAAGAGTTCTTAAAGCAGCCGCATCTCGCGCCCTTGCTCTGAAGTTGAAGTAGGAGCATAAACTCACCACCGTATGGAACCACTTAGAAGCAGCAAGCTGAAGGCAAGCAAATTCAACATTCTGTAATCTATCTTGTATCTTCTAGCTTCGATATTCCATAATTCCATAAAAGAGACGAGGAGCCTTCGTCACTTTTTTCGAAGGTCACGACGAACGTCTCGCTTTCGGAGCCCAGGGGGCATCCTCCCGTCCGCACCTCGCTGCCTTTCGACCCATCGAGAATCGAGTTCCGGAGGATGCACTTTCCTGGGCTTTTAAGCAACCAGGGAGAACGAAGGTCCAAAGACACTCATGGCATAAAATGGTTCCTTTAACGAACAAAGTCTCCCCAACAACAGTACTAAAGTCGGCTAGCTCAAAAAAAAATTAGTACAGCATGCTACTCCAGCTCACCCAGGTTCGCTGCGTGCAGGGCGCAAAGGAGAAGACGCAGTCGGCGCCGGCGTAGAAGCAGAAGCGCCAGTCGATGCCGTCCTTGCGGCTGTAGCCATTGCCTGGGCTCTTCGTAGGGGTTTATGGATTTAGGAATTTATGGTCTGGGAGTTTAGGGATTTTAGGGTGTAGGGGTTAGGGATTTAGGGTTTACGGTTTAGGGTTTAGGGTACGGTAACAAGGAAAAAACCCTGCATCTTACTGTAGGTTCCTATGATGGCAACCGAAGTTAAGTTCCTTAGCAAGAGCCCAGCTGCCCTTGATCTGCATCCGGTCACCCTCCTGGAACTGCACGGGCACCTTTCTGGAGAGGTTCCTTTGGCAGGCCTCGCAGAGGTCGTAGTCGCAGTCTCGGCAGCGCCAGGCGGTGCCACTGCAGCCGCAGAAGTTGCAACGATTGCCTGGGCTCTTGCTGAGGGATATTCAATTTAATTTGCTAGAATAATAAGGAAACCATATTATTTACTATAGATCCCTATTCTGGTAACTTAAGTTAAGTTTAAGTCCCTTAACAAGAACCCAGTTGCTCTTCTTCCTCTCGGGCTGGAGCTCGTGGGCCTCTCGGCAGTAGACCGGCTGCGGCTCCGCAGCCGTGTGGCGGAGCTGCCTTCGCCTGCGCTGCACGCCGTCCTCCTCGAGCTCCTCCTCATCTTCCTTCACTGCACTGCCGGCCATCCGTTCGCCGCCGGAGTCCGCCTCATCCCACTCTTCGGGATCATCCATGGCATCTTTGTCCCCCTCCACCTCCCCCCCGAATCCCGCCAGGCCCTTGATGGCCGTGCGTGACACGGTGGTGGTGTTCTCGTGGTTGTTCAGATCGCAGTTCGAGCCACCGGCAGCATACCTCGCCCAGATGGGCCAAGGCTCGTCGCGACCGTCCAGCGGCGGCTGCAGCTCATGCATGCAAAGCCGAGCGTTGCTGGTGTACTCCAGCTGCCGGTACAGCTGATGGCCGTAGGACTTGATCCCGTAGATGTGGATCATGCGGCGCTCCTTGAAGAGGTGGACCTCCTTCCAGATGCGTGCCTTAGCTTCCTGGTGTACTCCCATGAGGCAAACCACGGTGGCATCGGGTGACACAGGCTCGTCCTTCATGAAGAAGAGGGGCGGCTTCTTCGGCGGGGGTGGGATGAAGAACATGCGTCGAACGGGCTCGAAGAGCTCGGCTATCCAGAACTCGTCCTCCTCCAAATCCTCGACGTCGTAGAGGCGGTCCCAGTCGTCGAGGAAGGGCAGGAAGCTGGCAGGCTTTGAGGACCAATGCGTAGCTCGGAAGGGTATGCTGAGGAGCTCCCGCACCGTGGCGTTCGTGGAGGTCAACAACGCGGAGCATTGCACCGTGGTCTTCTGCATGGCACCCTTCTCTCCCAACTCCGAGACGAAGACGTGCTTGAAGTCCTCATCCTGCCAGATGAAGTCCTCCAAGGGAACGAGCGTGCGGCCACGCACGGTCACCTGGAGCAGCTGGACGTTCAGCTCGATCCAAAAGGCATCGGATGCATTCACGGTCTTCACTCCCTTCTCCTTCTCCTTCTCCGCCCCTCCCTGGGCCTCCTTGTCCGGGGCTGCCTCGCTGAGAACGCCGAAGCGGCCCTCGTACTCCGAGTCGTCGCCCACGCAGACCCATTCGAAGCCCGCGGTCTCCGGGGCGCTGGTGTCCCCAAGGGCGGAGAGCTGCTGATGGCAGCTCCGCAGCACGGAGTTGAAGCCCTGCAAGGCGTTCAGGCGCCGTTGCTCCACGAGCCAACGCACGATGTAGCGCCGGTGCAGCTGCAGGGTCTCGAAGAGCTCCGTCTCCGGAACCTCCAGGCGCTCCTGGTTGAAGGTGTGATGGGAGGACAAATAGGTCAGGGAGGAGAGCAGCCTCTTCACGCGCTCCGCATCGAAGTCGCTCTGCGGAACGTTCCGGAGCACCAGAACCTGGTGGGCGTGGAGCCGGCAGGCGAGCTGGTTGCACTCATCCTCACGGCTGGGCTCCTGCTGTGCCGACTCCGCCAGCTCTTCCAACCACCGATCGAACCATGGCAAGACTTCGCCCTCGAAGGTGCTCCGCAGCAAGCTCCGACCCCGCCGCAGGTCTTCCAAGACGCTGGGCGTGGTGGTAAGCCTCGGCCAGGCCCGTGCCACCTTGCCCTCGGCGTGGTCCATCAAAAGCGCCGCGGCGGACTCCACACGCACCGCCAGGCGCACCGAGAAGAGGATCGCCGGCACGGTTTCGGAGGTCACGGAGGTCGCGAGGCTTAAGGTGAGGGCCATGAGCTTGCCCACGGCGGTCAGGATCACCGTCGGCCCATGAGACAGCTCCGTGAGAATCTGACTGAAAGGAGAGGCCACCAAATGCTCCTCCTCGGCCGTGGCGGGCACGAACTCCGGGATGTTCTTCATGTCCTCGGGGAAGAGCAGCCTCCCAGGCTCCAGCATCGAAGCCTGGAGGATCCTTTGCAGCGTGCCCTGGCGAAGGCAGTTGCTCCGATCCTGCGTCGTAAAGAAGCTCAGCAGCAGCGGCTGCCGCAGGTAGGGCACCTCAGAGGGGAAGGTCTCAGCTGAAGCCCTCAAGGCCAAGATCCAAGGACGCACAAGTCACAAGCCACAAGCCACCACAACCCTCAGAAACCCCTATGGCGACCCAGGTCGCAACCCTCTCTGTAGTCCCGATACGAACTCTTGCCGAGCCACCGTCAAGTAGGACAGCATGCCCTCACTGTCCGAGGGCCGCAGCATCGGGCGCCCCGTCTTCTCATCCGCGAAGTTGGGTAAAGACCTACCGTGGCTGAGGCTTCGGGTCCGGGGCGGCTCATGGAGTCAGGGACTCTGAAATCACGTGTCCTCTTGCTACCGTCATCGCCAGTAGCCGCTAGTAATAGGAGCATCATCACGATGATATCGTCATGTGATCACTACTGCATGACCAGTTTCATGAGCGTGGAGTGCCTCAATTGTTGCGATTGCCCTGCTCAGATCACGACTACTATGTCCGAGGTGAGAAGTCGGAGTAGTCTTATCCTTCTGTTGCGATTCGTTCTGCTGCTCTCCCTCTCCTACATCGAACCCCTCGCCCTCAACCCTGAAGCCCAACAGTCCCAGAGCCAGAAGCCCCAAAGCCCCAAGCAAGTCAACACCACACCTCTCCACGATGGTCCCTAAAGGTTTAGGGTTTAGGATCTTAACCCAACGCCCTACACCCTCGGCCCGTGGCCTCTGGTAAAGCAGATCGTCCTCTGTACCTCCGATGACTGAGGTGACGTGTCTGCTGAAACAATCCGCGGACTTCGTAAGTAAGGCTTTATGTCCATTGTGATTACTTGTAAGCCCAAACAAGGTGCACAAGCCCACTCACAAAGTCCCTAAACCCAAAACGCTAAACCCTAAACCCTAACTCCTGAAAGCTTGAGGGGCTTCTCAAAGGGAGACGCGTGTGCCTCGTGCCGTCTGTAAGCCCTAAAGCGCCAACTTCAGGGGGGATAAAGACCCAGCGCAGGCTTGCTGGATGTTCCAGGGCGTCGTGCTTGAATTCCAGGGTCTCGGGGCTTACGATTCGGACGTTTCCGAAGGCCTGAACCGCCGAAAGCGCCTGTTTTTAAAGCGTTTTATAACATTGCCAGAAAGAGTCTCAAGCAATTCAACTTCCTGCAAACACCACACACCCCAAAACCACTGTCAAACCTTCCAGCCTACACCGCAAACTCGAAACCCTAAACCCTAAACTCGAAACCCTAAACCCTACACTCTAAACCCTAAACCCTAAACTCTAAACCCTCAACTCTTCACCCTAAACTCAGGGGCCCTGTTGGCAAAACCTCACGTCGAGAAGCGGACTTCTCCTTTGGTGTGCCTCGGCGGAGTCCCCCGGTGTTTCCCAGAGAGCCCACGGGGCCCCTTAATTAAGGAAAGGACCTTAAACTATAATATTAAGGCCCCTATAATTTAAGGTATACCCCTTAATTGAGGGAAATACCTTAAATTACGGGGGCCTTAATATTATGACTGTCATGATTTAAAGTATATTCCTTAATTGAGGGGTATTGGGCTCTCTGCTTTGGATCTTTTGGGGTGTTGGGGCTCTAGGAATCGAGATTTCAGGGTTTAGGGTTTAGGAATTAAGGTTCAAGGTTAAGGTTTGGGAATTGAGGTTCAGGGTTTAGGGTTTAGGAATTTAAGGTCTAGGGTCGAGGTCTGAAGGATTTAAGATTTCAAGGTCTAGGGTTTAGGGTTTTGGAATGTAAGGTTTATAATGAGGTTTGGGAATTTAGGGTTTAGGGTTAAGGGCTTCGGGGTTTCGGGTGTTAGGGTTAAGTTGTGCTTTTAGCTTTAGGACTTCCAGGGAGGTGGGGCTCAGACTCTGGCCATGTGGCTAAAGGATCTAGCTTCCCGAGGTTTAGGGTTTAGGGTATAGCCATGTGGCTAAAGGATCTAAGTTTTAGGGCTGAGGTCTTGATGCTTTTTGGTTTTGAGGTGTAGGGCTCGCATCTTCGACACGAAACTGCTCTTGTTAGCCAAATGACGGCCTTCATAGTCGGACCCCATAAGCTGGAGGGCTCACTGCTAGATCGGAGCCTTTCTGAAGCTTCCTAAGCCCTAAGCCCTAAACCCTGAACCCCAAACCCTAATCCCTGAACCCTAAACCCATATTGAGAGGGAGCAGCTCCTTCTAGGAAGCTTTTCCAAACATAAAAGTCCTTTCATCTTGAACCTTTTCCAGAAAGAGCCCTGAACCTTGTACTCTGCAGCTCATGGGGTTTAGTGGGCCGTTTCGGAATGGTTTAGAGGTTCTTGTATGAAACTATAAAGGCTTCAATGCCCTCCAACACCTAAACCCTAAACCCTAAACCCTTGAAACCTCCCTTCGCGAAGGAAACCCTCCCGAGCCCGGCACATCGCCGGGAGCGCGGGCGAGGGCCACCGATGACCCGAGGCCGGGGGCTGCGGCGGCGTGCGGTCGTTGATCCACACCACGTTGTCCTCTCAGTTCTCTCTTTTAGGGATTTAGAAGCAGGACCCCGCGACTCGCGACCCATTTTCATGGCCTCATGGATGTAGATTCCCCTGTATGCGATTCTTACGAGAAAAGTACGAAGTTTGTCCTGGCAAGTGGACGATGAAAGAGGTAATGGTAGCAGAATGCCAGTTAGCGACGCTGATAACGGCAATTCTAAAGAAGAAGAAGAAGAAGCTTAACATGTGTGTAACCCTAAACCCTAAACCCCAGAGGCCCTAAACCCTAAGAGAATGACCCTAAAAGAAACAATAAACACGAAGCTTGCTCGTGCAAGGGATTCCGGACTTCGGGGCTTCCTGGGCCTTTCTGTTGGCTCACTAGGCCTTGGTTTTAGGGTTTAGGGGTTTGGGGCTTAAGGGTCCTAAACCCTAAAACCCCGCCAAAATCTTAGTCCGAAAACCACACGTCAGCCTCAAACTCCCCCAGAGCCCTTGAACCCAAAATAAACCCCCCGAAGCTCTGAAGCCGAGTTCTCAGTGCTTCAGGTTCTGGAGAGCAAGAACCTTCAGGCTTGAGTGGTTTCTAGGGCCTGGGCTTTGGGACGCCCGGGCCCGAAAGGCTAAAGCCAAAAGGGCAGAATCCTCAGGGCTTTTAGGGTTTCAGAGTTTAGGGTTTTTAGGCCCTAACGAGGTTTTCAACCGCAACATCGACATCCTTCCAGGGGGAGAGCGACTTCAGCAGCTGCAGACAGACATCAGATGCCTCCGCTTCTAGTCCTGGAGCCCTCAGCCCTCAACAAAACGGCTTGGGGGGGGGGGGGCTCGGGGTCCAGAGGTTTGAGGATTCCGGTGTTTGGTTTGGGGGTTCGGGGTTTTGGGGGGTTTTGGGCATTTCGGTCCTTCCCCAGGGCCGTGATCTTGAAGTAGGGCCTCCCCTTGTCGTCCACTTGCACGCTCCAGCGGGCGATGGCTTCCGCCGGGTGGAACTTCCTTGCCTCGGGGAAGACCCGGATGTCCGTGCAGAGGAAGTACTTCCACCAGAAGACCTCGGTTTCTTGAGGGACCCAAGCGGTTCAAACCCCGATACTCTAGGGCCCTTCGTAACTAACGACGCGGGCTTTGGGGGAGCGGTCGTGCTGTGATTGTATAAGGTGTATGAAGGCGAACAGGGCCTATGAGATGCCCGAAACTTCGGGTGCACGGCTTCTGAAGAACCCCTAGAATTTCGTCTGGCTTAGCCCTAAGCCCCTGTACCCTAACAGCCAGGGTGCAATGTCACGGTAGGCTTGAAACTCCGGCCAGATGTGAGGCATCATCACGTTGGTGCCTGGACGGGGCCAGGATTTTGGTTCTCTGAAACTGGGTCTTCTGGGCTTGCTCAAGGCAGTTGAAGCCCAAACCCCAGACCCTTGCCCCAAGTTTGCATCAGAGAATACTGTAGTGTACTATTTATATTATACTATAATATCTTATAGTACAGTATATTATGCTATGTTATCTATTATGCTATGTTATATTATGCTATATACTATTATCGTAGCCATGGGGGTTAGTGTGCAAGCACAACAGGATATCACTCGTCTCACAAGGCGCTGGTACTGCCACGGACTTTGAAGTTATTGACAGTCTTCAAGGCCTTCCGAACGTAGGACAGTACAACAGACAGATTGCGCGGCTGCGCAGCAAGATTGAGCTTGCAGCATACTGCGAGGCCAACGCCCCCTTTGCAGCCCACGACTGAACCAGTTCCTACCCCCCAAACCCCGAACTCTGAACTCCAAAATGGTTTGTAGCACAGAGTGAACCACACTCTTTCAACTCGAAAGGCCCTACCTGAACTTCCCTCCCCAAGAAAAAGCGCAAAGGCCAAGGCGCCAGCAACAAGATTCGAGGGGTTCCCGTCCATCAGCAACTTCGTCGCTGCCATGCGCTCTGCTAGGGCGATGGTGCCACGCTCGCCTGGAGGGGTTTCGGGCTTTAGCATGGCTGCCTGTGCTATAACTATGACAGCCACCGCCAACTCCCTGACTTCGAGGTATCAGACACGCTTTTGGAGATTGAGGCTTGCCGCAGCTCCCTTTCACCCCGCACTGGTTTGGGGGTGTAGGATACGACCAAAACTCGACAGCGCGGGCCGGGCCTGTAACCCACATGCCCCACTTGTGGGCGGCGTAATCGAAGATCACCGTCTTTCGTCGATCCAGGTTCACCTGCGCCGCGGAGGCTTCGGGTTCCAGGCTCTGCTGGAGGTCTCGGAGGCATCTGGGCTGAAAGGCAGGTCCAATGCCAGGGCTCCGAGTCCGTGGCTACAACCCACAGTAGAAGGGGAAGAGGAATAACGAAAAGGCAAAAAGTATGAATAACAAGTAAAAAATCTTGACAATAACAATGAAAGCAAAACAGCAGGAACAATTCGAACACAGAACAAGAGCACGCACCGAAAAATGACTTGAACCATGAAGACATGTTTTAAAAAAAACCCAGGGGCGTGGCTACGGCTAAGACTTTGACCGGTTCTCATTGTTACACGAGTAACATATCGCGCGCCTTACTGCAAACAAGAAGGCAATCTCATCACACCCTTAGCAGACCCCAAAAAGGCCCAAACAAAACTGTCCAGACCAACAAGCTCTGAGGGTCCAAAACTCAAGCCCTACACACCTCCGGAATATGAAAACCTATACATAGGTGTGTATATGTATGCTTGTGTATGTATATATATATATATTTATTTATTTATTTACTTATTTATTTATTTATTATTTATTTGTATGTAAGCACATATGCACATATTTTTTGCATATATGTCTGTAGGTGTACGTAACTTATGCTATAATATGTATGTTCATATGTACATTTACATATGGTTGAAAGTTAAGCAAACATACGTACACCCGAAGGCCTTGTAATGCTGAACCACCTCATGGAAGTAGGCCATGGTCGCAGCGCGCGTGATGGTGAGTTCCTCTGAGGATTTTTTTCTAAGAAGGCTTTGGGCTTCGGGTTTACAGTTATGGATTTAGGATTTAAGGTCCAGTCTAGGAGGTGTCTCGGCTCGAGGTAGTTTTCTGCCTGTTCGGCTCTCGCCGTTCTTACAGATACTGCTATACCAGACCCCAGCTAGTACTAGTACCGCACTCGTGCCATTGCTAGCGCCAGTGCTCCACCCCGGTGTGGTCGCGACTTCCCGAGTATTGCGGCCTGTACTCGGGACCCTGAGGGCGGCCTCATGTTCGTTACAACTGGTCTTGCTGGTATCCTGGCATCCCTTGTTGGCAAGGAGTGGACCGCAAAGTCCATCGGTATTGTCTGCCTGCTCTTGGCGCAAGTTTTGCAAAGATCGCACGTCTTTTTGTGGAAACTCTGGACGTGGATCAACATCTGGGAAGTCATTGCTTTGCCACTTCTTTGGGTGGCATCGGTGACTTTACAGCTGCCTGTGCCTACAGGCTGTCAGTCTGCTGTTTCAGCCTCTGGTCGGTGTGGTGACGGTGCGAGTCATCGGCCTACTTCAGTGACCTGTCTCCTTCTGAGTTGCTTCTGCTGATGCTCGTCACACTGCTGCTCGCGCTCCGGCCCGCTGGGCGGCCGTGTGACGAACATCATGCTTCTGTTTGTTTTTTAAGCCCTTGTCCGCCTGGTTGAGCTCCGCTGGCTGTTAGCCTCGCGCTGCTCCCTGGCCGGCTTTGGCTGGCGCCCGTTGAGCGCTTGACTCTGGTGTTTCGCTCCGGGTCTGCCTCCTCTTTCCGTTTCACTTGCATGTTAGGGGTTGCATGTTCCC